GACAAATTTGCAAGATGTAAACTAACATACACATGCTTGTAAGACATAAAATGTGATAGCACTGCGCATGTGCGCAAGGTAGTTTTGAATCCGATTGAGAAAATAGGGTCTACACCACCCCTTTTAATCCGATTGAAATATCAGTCAAGCTGGATTATTTGGGGCATGTAAATGTAGCTACTATGTGAAATGCTAACCTAAAATGCTAAAACCCCCAACCAAAAAAAAAAAAATTGTTACAAACCTGTATGACTCACTTCTGTGGATCACAAAAGAAGATATTTAGAAGAGAAAAAAAAAAACTTTAAATGAGTTTTTCAAGTGTGAAAATGTCTTTATAAACATTTGGGCTGGAGTGAATCAAGCTGCAAACATGGAATGGCGTATTAATGTGCTTTAGATGTGCATCTCATTATCTGGCTCCATGTGGCTGGTTCCTCTGTTTACATTCTTTCATTTGACATTATAAAGCCATTAGTTCACATTCATTATTTAAGGTATTTTCAGGGGGAAAGACTTCAAATTTATAGCCTATCCTCTAAAGACCATAGTCATTTCCCATGACTCACGTCCCCTGCCACTGAAAAAAAAAAGTACTTCCGATATCCCTCCTGCGGTCGTATCGCCACACATTATACATGTCTCGTGTCTGCCGGCGGTTTTGAGTGCTTTGAGAACAAGACCAGCTCCATTGTGAAATTATTAGCAATTACAAAGTCCAAGTAGTTTGCACTTCTCAGAGCAATAAACCGATAATTTTCCTGGCGGTCCTGTAGCTGTAGGGTTTCCGGGGGTCTCTGAAGCGTGGCAGATATTAACATGCAAGGCGTTTGTCACTGTAATTACAGACTCATTAGTTTTTTCGTACTCTTTCTTGTGTCCTCTATCTTTTTGAAGATTCCATCTCCCTCAATTATTCCCATCTGGGTTCATTTTCAACACTCACGCTTCATTACCGGGAAACAGAGTGCTCGCTGTACTCTCCTCCCTCCTCTTCTCTTCGCTCCTCCCTCGCTCCCTTGCTCTTTCACATCTTCTGCTGCCAGCCCGCCACCATCCATCGCTCACACTTACACTGACGACCGGCACTCACAAACACCGCCTGCCGTGCTGCTCTGCCCTGGCACCTGTCACAGGCTAGGCGGCACTTGGCAACCCTGAAAATGTGTTTGAAGGGTCTTTGTGGCATGTGGTTGTATATTTACTACACGCTTATTCCTGCAGTGCTAACTTAAGTGTTTATTTGAAGTACTTACACTACCATTCAGAAGTTTGTGTAGGAACGATTGTTGTAATCTTTTTGAAAAAAAGTCTCTTATGCTCACCAATAATATTTAGCAGTCTATGTATTTGAATGTATTGTAAGATGTAATTTATTCAAAGCATCATTACTCCAGTCTTCAGTGTTACATAATCCTTCAGAAATCATTCTAAAAATGATGATTTGCTGCTGAAGAAACATTTCTTATTAGAATCCATTGAAAACTGTTGTTCTGCTCAACCCTTTGAAACTGTGAAACATTTTTTCAGGATTTTTTTTGATTAATAGAGTTAAGAAAACATTTATTTGAGAAAGATATCTTTAGTGACATATCTTTTGAGCAATTGAATGATTCCTTGCTTGTGTGTGATTGAACCATGGCATGAAAGTGAGCAAATAAAACAAGCAATTACACATTTTTTTTTTTATTTGTTTGTTTTTACCTTTCTTCTTCATACATTAATCAAAACTACCCTAATGAAAAATCCAGAATGGGAATCTGGAGTGATTGAAAACAGCATGACGATGCTTGTCCACCAGCTCTATACCAGCTCTAACCAGTCTGGACCAACATGTAATTCATGTTGGATTATGCTGGATTTTTCTGCTGGGTAGTCAAGTCACCTTTATTTTTATGGAGCTTTATACAGTTCAGATTGTTTCATAGCAGCTTCACAATAATAAACAGGAAAGTAACAGAATTATTTATGCAAACTTCATCAAATATAATGACAATAATGCCGTTGTTCAGTTTGAGTCAAATCAATGTTGATTCAGTTCAGTTCAATAGCGGTGACGATTTACAAAATTTACATAGCCACTATCAATAGCTATGTTTCCATCCAAAGTTGCGAATTTAACTTGTGAGCAAAATTGGAATATCGCATAAAACATACTCGAATGAAGCAGCGTTTCCATCCAGTGAGCCGAAGAGAACAAAATCATCACTTCCTGATAAACTGATGCCAAATATCACTAAGAAAAATGGAATTTGCTGCAGTAGGAGAAGCCACTGTATAAAATAATTTAATAATTTCAGTTCTGGGAGGCAATTACACTGAACCACTTTGACGACAGACTTTGCTCAGGCATATCAGAATGACCAAAACAGCATTTCAGACGAGAACTGTCCGCTGGTTGCTCCAGTAATACCGTCCCATCGCAAAGTCACATCGGGGAATTGATTCGGTAAATATTTTTCCATTGTAGATTATGCGCATGTTTTCTTACCGGAAAAAAAAGTGTATTCGACTCAATCGAATTTATGTGCATTTTGGCGTTTCCATCCAGCATTTTTTTTTTATGCGAATGATGAAAATGCGCATACAAATAGGTGGATGGAAACATAGCTAATGACAATGTTTTGGTTGACATAAAATGATGTCGCCTACCATTTTTGTGGCAAAATACCATAATTACTAGAGTTTTTGCTACTACTACTGTTAAACTATAAGTCAAAATTGGATCTTTTTCAAACACTGTCCTAACCAGTTGAGATTTGGCAAGGTCCAGCAAAATGCTGTTTTCACATCTGAAAGCAAAACTGGTGTGATGCCACACTATCACATGCAAAGTTGTAATGGATTTATTTTTCTTAAAATTATCCATCATATCAATAGATCATCTCTCTTTTTTCTCCAGGTCTGCTTTTTCTCACCCTGACAGTGTTTTGAATGCTGTTGGTGGTCAGCTCTATTCTACAGTATTATGTACTTGTCTCTGTGTACAAACAGGAGCTCTTGCTTTTGACGCTCGTCTAGCCCATCTTTTGGCTGTTACTGTATGATCCAATGCAGTAAACTGTACAGCAAATCCGGTTTTGACTTGAAAGGGGAACCAAAAGAAGGAGCTGTGTTAATTGATGCCTGGTTACACCTTAATGAGCTTCTGAAATCTGCACACAAACGAGGGTCATGTTGCCATGGCAACACGAGCCCCACTATAAGGCAGAAGGGCAAAGCATAAGAAGGTCTGGATTATGTCACCTTGAGAAAAATGTAAAGAGAGAAAAGTATGAAGATAATATGATGCCATAAAGAATCGCATGCGCAGGGTAAGATTTGTGAAAGTGTACATAAGATTGCACGCGTAAATAAAATTTAGGAAGGTTTGTAAAGGTGTAAATCGCCTTTCAGGTGTAAGAAAAAAATATTTGCTGCATTTTACTGTTGTTCGTAAGTGTAATGCATGTATTGTGAAACTGCAACTTCTTGCTTCCGCAAAATAAATATGATCTGTATTCTTCTGACTTCCATTTTTCCGTGCTTACACTTTTGGCACGTTTAAACGATTTTAAGGCGATTTACACCTTTACAAATCTTCTCTTGCACATGCAAATTTTATTTACCCGTGCAATCTTATGTACACTTTCACAAATCTTACCCTGTGCATGTGATTCTTTATGGCATCATATTACCTTCATAGAAAAGTGACCAACAAGGCATTTTCATTGCTTATCTTGTTTTGTTAGAATAGACAGAGTCTTTAGATTTACACAAACAAAATAAGCCTTGATGGATGAAAGTACAGTTAGTTTAATATGGTGTCACCAGTCATTGATCATCAGCAACCAAACACTATAAAAAATGCATCTGTCCCTCACAGCCTCATTTTCACATGTCAAATTAAACTCGTCTTCTTTTCAAGGTATATGATCGATATAGGTTAAAATGGACTTGTTTTATCTCTCTAATGCTTTGTTCTCACTTTCTCTGCCTCATTCATTTCACAGTAGATTTAATGCTAAATCCCATTGCAGAGTTAATTTGAATGACAGTAGGTTATATTCCCCCACTTGAAATCCTCAGTCACACCCATCTCTCCTTTCTTTCTCCTTTCCTTCTTAAGCACCTCCTTTTTTTCCGTCTTCATCCCTATTCTTTCTTTTATTCCTGCCCTGCATAATCCAGCCTCGGTTCACTCACATCTTCCCCAAAAGATGCACTGCTCAATATCACGTGCTAGAAATGGCACCACATCCAGACAGTTTGCCACTCTCTGTTCATGTGTAAATGATTCAGTGTCCTGGTGTCTGGTTGTTTGAGGCTAAACTGAAGTCAAGAGGCCAGAGCATCTCTTCCAGCTTGGTAACGCCCCATATTCAATTTCATACTTCACTGCATGGAGACACACAGCGAGCTGGAACAGTCCATTACAGAGGTCATGTGACTGGAGTGTGTCCTCTGTGCTGTGCCTTTGGACATTTTGGCTTAAAATAGAGATCATATATATATATGCATGTGCATATATTTGTACGTGTCGTATATATATATACATATACATATGATTTTAAGTATTTATCAGTAAAGTGAAGCAGGGAAAAAAAGACAATGACATGTTTGTGTTTATGTTGAGTTTTCCTTGCGTGTTTTTTTCTTTCGAAGACTGTCTTAATTGTTTGACTCCTCATAAATCATCTCAAGGCCCCAGAAACATGGCAGGCAACCTAAAAATGTTCATGTGGTAACTAGTTTTATTCAAGTCAACATTGTTTAATCTTACTGAACAACCCCGAGAACATTAGGTTACACTGATGAAAGTCATTTCTAATGGTCAGATCATGAAATTGCTTGACAAAGTACCAATTGCACGTTTACTTTTCGTAGTGTGTATGGTCAACATGTCTCAGTTTATTGTATGAGATTAACCGCTATCGTCTATTTGGGTGAACCATTTTATAGATCGTAATTTGTACAACTAGGCAGCAGTAAACATGACATGAGCCTCTGTTTTTATCCAGGACAGTGACATCCAGAAGAAGATCGACTATGAGATCCGTATGCGTGAGGGTGCGTGTAAGCTGCTGGCTGCATGTTCTCAGAGGGACCAAGCGCTGGAGGCCTCCAAGAGCCTCCTCACCTGCAACGCCCGCATCATGGCCTACATGTCAGAGCTGCAGCGCATGAAGGAGGCGCAGGTCATGCAGCGGATTGCACGCAGGTCAGAGCTCACTTATGATGATTGTACTTTTCGGCAGTGTTGTCACGGTACCAAAATTTCAGTATTCGGTACCAATACCAGTGAAAATCCACGGTTCTCGGTACCAATTTCGGTACCAAAAGCTTAATTTAGATAGAATTTACATATATTAAAGTGTACATCACAGTTACAAAGATGGAAACTGTAGTATTAAAAACCCTTTACAATAAGATTATATTTGTTAGATAACATTAGATAAAATTACCTAACAATAAACCATAGTTATATACTGTAGCAATTATTCTCCTTGGGGTTAATTTAAAAATATACTAATACATTTTTAAAATCAAAAGTTTTATCGTTAACATTATTTAATGCACAATGAATGAAGTGAACAAACATGAACAATCAAGTGTTTGTATTAAATAACATTCACAAACATTAATTAATGTTGTAAAAATATATTGTTCACTCAATGTGTTGATGTTAACACATTAAGTAATGTTAATGAATGGTATCTTATTGTAGTGTTACCAAACTATACAGGAGATAGAACATGTTTTATTTGACTTAACTGTAGCCTACTTTTATTTAATCCAAAACTGCCAAAAATGTCACTCTTTCCTGTCTTCAAAACTTGATAACCCTGTAGCTGATTTCTAATGCAAGGGCTAGTAATCAATTAATTCTTTGCTGATACTTCCTCGTCATCACGGGGAGCGCAGTTTGCACCGCTTTCTCCTTCTCTCCACAAGCGCTCGCTCTCCCGTGTCTCCGCTATGCAACCATAAACAGTGACGCGCCTGGAAAAACAAGCTCGCACGTCGCTTCTATTATGAGCGCGCTTCCCGCGCGCCTACATTTGAAATTTGCACGCGCAAAAAACGTGCTATGTGAACGTGTGAACGGCCCTTTATGGCAACGTGACATTAGCCTAATTCAACATATTTCCATATGTGGCTCTCCTCCTTTCTTGTCAACAAGTGGATTCAGAGCCAACGCATTAGCAGCGCCGCCGGTCGCCATGTCTCAGTGTTTTTATGAAGAGGACGCAACTCTGCACCTTTCGGACAGCGCATCAAGAACCGGATTAACCCGGTACTCGGTACCTAGAAAAGCTGGTACCGTAACCGTTAATTTTTTTTAGTACCGACTTGGTACCGAAGTACCGAGTTTTTTGACAACACTACCGGTTTGGTTCAACTTAAAGGTACACTATGTAAGCAAGCAGAAGCTCCTCTGTCCTGTGTTTTTTTTTTTTAAACCAGGTTTCCCTGGAGGTTTGAGATTTAGCATGCTCCATGTCCACCTTTATCGCTCATTGTGACTAACTATGCCACTTCCATATGCGTAGTAGCTTGAGCAATTTTGAATTTTGAACAAAAAACTTCACATCCTGCATAGTGCTGCCACTAACGACTAATTTTCTAACGACTAATCTTTCGACTAATTTTTCGATTAGTCGACTAATCTAAACGACTAATTAAAAAAAAAAATTAAGTGTTTATTTCGTTGTGTCCATTTTATTTTGAACTCAACTGAAGGGCCAAAACATAAAATGTCACCTGTTCAAAAACATTATGTATTACCAATCTAAGCATTAAGTATCTGCATTTCCATTAGGCTATACCATATTAGTCAGAGTCCTAATCTAATCCTCTAATAACAAACATGTATGTATTACTTAAATTAGCTCTTTGTTCTGCCTTAAAAAAATGTACAGTAAGCTAATAATGATTAATTTATGTACATTTCTGAAAAGCATAACTGATAACATCACTCTGAATAGTATAGTAGATGCAATGCATTTTCTGTGAAAAGCGCTATACAAATAAATTGGAATTGAATTGAAAGAGTCTGGACTAGCCCACTATGAGTCGCGCTGAAAGCAGGCAGGCACGCAGTTATGTAGCTCGCGTTTACACCTGCGTGCATGGCGGGCCCGTGCCGCGGTTCGCGTGAATGTGAAAGCAACACGGACTCGGGAGCGCTTGTTCAGGAAGTTAAGTAACCTGCCCATGCGTTTTAGCTGATTATGACGCATTTAGTTAAATAAAACACATGTAAGGGATGATAGTGATGATGATTTACCTTGGATACGCGAGAGTTGAGTCTGCAGTGTAGCCTATTCGCGCATTGCGCGTGCAATCAGGGCAACACATTTGGAAATCCACTGTCTCCTCAAAAGAGTCCGTTTGAAAAACACAATATATTGACCCGCGTTCTGTTTTCTATCATGCGCCGTGCACGTTTGCGATGGCATAAGATGCACGCAAACTCAACAGGGTTCGATAGAATTGAGTGTGAAACCAGACCAACGCTGCGGGGGGCGCCGGGATCAAACAATCGCGCTCCCGCAGCAAACGAGCCCACTGTGAAAGCTCTGTCACCTGCCTCCGCAATTTGTCATATCAAAGCAGTGAAGGCGGGCGGGAACGTGAAGGAAAATGATAGCAGATAAACCAGCAGGGCGCGCACGGCGCACAGACTGGTGTGTGGAGGTGAATTACAGTGAGCTGTTTGTGACGGGAGACCAAAAATAAATAGCGGTCAATAGTAAAACGACACGTCGACTAATTTGCATGGTCGATTACGTCGACTGAGTCGACTAATCGCGGCAGCACTAATCCTGCACCTTTTACAAAGTTTGATTAAGCTAAATTAGATGTGGAATGTTTGGGTGGCTTTGATATTTGTGGTGTTTTATAAAATGTAAATCAGTCTTTTTGAGGTTAAGCATTTTTAATTATACTGTCAGCACCAGTAAATATGAAGTTTTATCCAAATATGCATAGCTGATAACTACACTTTGACCATAAGTACTTCAACATACACAAATCACATGCTTTTCACATCACATGTCTTACTAAAATAGCTGAATGTATTGACTCAAAGTAGAAATAATCGGACAGCCGCAAAGCACATGACTGCAGAAAATAGTGTTGAGGTCAGAAAGAGTTTAATGTGGTGAGTGCTGTCCATTTTACAGGGGTAATCTCAGCCTCTTTATCAGGATCGTCACTGTAAAGCTAGTGTCAAAGTGTTAAATGTCAATTTAAGGCAATTACTACAATGTTGTCCTTTTAGTCACATGGTTGGCTCCAGACACCACATACACACAAAAATTAAGCTATGCTTAGAAAATGTTTTAAAGCTGAAGTGTGTAATGTTTTCAATGTTTTCCAAAAGGTTTTTTTTTTTCGAATCCCAGTTTATGTAACTGTAATTAGAGCATTTGTAGGTTAAAGAACTCGTTGCGCTGGCCAATACGCCTGTTGTCTTGAACTTATGTATGGATGTCAGTACATTGCTTTATTTATTTGAGCATATCAACCAACATGACACCACAACATTGGCTCAATCAATAGTATGAATTGACCAATGGCAGACAGGGGAAGTGCTCAGGAAATGGTCAGTATTTTTACAATTCCATTTGGTGACACACACTTCCATTTGGTGACACACACTTCAGCTTTAATTATAACTGGTTTGAAGCACTTTACACATTGTGGTTTGTTTCTTATTGAGTGTTTGTGTTCAGGTCTTCTGATGCCGGTCCAATGGATGACCGATCCCCATGTAAAGGCAAAGTAGCCATTTCAGGTATGTTCGCAGAAAAGAATTCAGGCCGTTTTAAATCACATAATGAAAAAAATATACACTACCGTTTAAAAGTTTGGGGTAGTGTAAGATTTTATTCAGCAAGTACACTTCAAAAGTGTCACAATAAATCAAAACAGTAAAGATATTTATAATTTTACAAAAGATTTGTATTTCAAATAAATGTTTTTTGAAAAACAAATATCACAGTTTCCACAAAAATATCCAAATATCACAGGTTCCACACAACTGTTTTTAACATTGATAATAATAATAAAAATAAATGTTTCTTAAGCAGTAAATCATCATATTAGAATGATTTCTGAAGGATCATGTGACACTGGTGGTGGTTGAGGAGAGATTCCCATGACATGATTGTAAAGCGCTTTGGGTGTACAGTAGTACATATGAAAAGCGCTATATAAATGCCTTTCTTTCATTCATTCATTCATTCATTCATTCATTCATTCATTCATTCACGGATTCATTCACTGAAGACTGGAGGGATGATGCTTACATTTTGCTTTGCATCACAGGAATAAATTACATTTTAAAACATATTAAAATAGAAAACATGTATTTAAAATTGTAATAATATTTCACAATAGGAATGTTTTAGTGTATTTTTAGTGCTTTGGTGAGCATAAGAGACTTACCAACCCCAAACTGAATGGTAGTGTATATAACATTCTCTGTTTTTTTTTTATTTGTGTATTGTGTGTAAATCATGCAAACCAGTCTGTTTATACGGGTGTCTGAGCACTAAATCACACCCCTGCTGTTTTATATATCAGCGCCTGTGTCTCAGTCTGCTGTGGGTCTTCTTTTACGAGTCGTCCTCCCCTCCTCACTGTCTGGTTCTTTTAGAGGAACCAACCCCCCTCTTAACACCCAGTGCTATTAACTCCCAGTTCAAACTCCTTGACTGCACCCATGGCAATTTGTGTTTGAGATCTACAGTGAGAGGCCTGTAGGGGTGATACTCAGTAAATGCTGTAATTATTACATCATTATGTAGAGGGTTATAGAGGACCTTATACCCTCACTTCACAGTCACATGCACGCTTATGTAAGCCACTTTCATATGTAGTCACTGACAGAATCTGCTGATTTAGAAGAAAGTTTATGTGCAATGGTTTTATTGGTAGCCAAATGCATTATTAGATGAAATATTTAATAAACAAACACAAAAAGGGTGGGGCATTTGCAGAATTTTATCAATAAGGAGCATTCCTTTTCAGCAGAAATCTGCTTCAATTCTGCAGCTGCAGAATCTGTGTGGGATTCCTGTTCATGTGCCATTATTCCATCACACAAATGCATCCAGACTGTTATTTAGTTTATCCCACGCACATACAATCTAATATTCCTACATGCAGCCTCTCTTTTGTTTTCTGCTGTCCATCATCTGCAGTCAGTACCCTATTAATTGTTCCCTAACAGCCTCTTCCTATTAATTTAAAGAAGTTCTGCTGTTATTAACAAGCTTGATTACACAGATCTTGATAGAGAGGCACATCCAGGTGGGCTTGAGCGATGAATGTGGTCTTGATGTGGTGGGTGGGCCAGTACGATAAAGGCAGCATGGCATAAAATACCAGATGTGTGTTTCGAATGTATTTTTCTGTTGATTGACATGGAGTGACAGCCAGCAATGGTTGCTCGCAGCTGTGAGTGACACTGTGTGTGTGTGTGTGTTATAACCTTGTGTGTTTCTCTCTGACCTCTGTCTCCTCTGTGTTGCAGATCTCCGGATACCTCTTATGTGGAAAGACACAGAGTATTTTAAGAATAAAGGAGGTAACATCTGTTTTACCTCTTCTCTTTGATATGCAGGTTAAATAACACTGCATGTTATTTAATAACCCATTGAATATCACACACACTAACAATAGGGAATACTGCTGTGGTGCATTGTGCATTCAGTATATGCATTACCACGATAACGAAAAACACATTTATTTATGAAGCATTCATGCCCAGCAAAGCCCTCTGGGTAAACAGAATATTATTACTGGCATTGGAAACATTTTCCAGACAACAGTGACTAATGTAGTTTTGCCTAAGGTGCTTAGCGCAGCTGACAGAGGTGACATTATGTTGATAAATGTGACACAGGAACCCACATGCATGTGGTGTTCTCTCGTGGGAAAGCTTTTATATGTGCTTTATCCTGTTAATAGGAACATATATTTTAAAAGCCATCAAAATGATTAAGGCAAGAACGTTTAGGACTGGTTGTGCCACAATTATTCATGTTCTATAATTTGTACAGGGGGAAAAAAATGACAGAGATACTAATTTTGTCCTAAGCAGGAAAAAGCAGGACAGCACACACACAGGTGCAGGAGTAAGTGTTTCCTGAATGAACAGAGTTGCTTTGGGGGATTTTACAGGCACTGGGCCAAACCTGCAGCTACATTAGGGAAGGCATTACAACAGGTGGGACTGCTAAGTAGAAATCATGTACAGCAAATGTCTTTGTTTCTTTCTTCAGAGCTGCATCGGTGTGCTGTGTTCTGTCTGCTGCAGTTGGGTGGTGAGATCTTTGACACAGACATGGTGATGGTGGACCGGACGCTGACAGACATTTGCTTTGACAACACAATTGTCTTGTGAGTGGGCTTGTTTTGTTGCTTTAACTGTTTAACTGGACATTTATTTAACCCATAAGGTGTTTAATCTTTGTGCAACCTAATGTTCATAGTCTGTACACGTGGATAAATAAAACATTTGGTTACACTTTATATTAGGTGTCTTTAACTACTATGCACTTAAATAAAAACGTACATACAAATTACTTATTATGTTCTTGTTGTATTGCAAAACACATTTACTACTATTGAGGTGGGATATGGGTAAGGTTAGGGACAGGTTCACCGGTATGGGTAGGTTTAAATGTGGGTTAAAGGGTTAGTTCACCCAAAAATTCTGTCATCATTTACCCACACTTATATCGTTCCAAATCCGTAGGACTTTTGTTCATCTTCGGGAACACAAATAAAGATATTTTATTGAAATCTGAGAGCTTTCTCTCCCTCCATTAACAGTATACGCAATTACCACTTTGATGGTTTCATAAGGACTAATCCATATGATTTGAGCAGTTTAGTTCAAATTTACTGAAGAGACACGATCACTTTATGATGACCAGATTAAATATAGGCTTTTATTCACATATAAACATTCATCAACTCACACATCAGTTGTGGTAAGCGGAAGCTCAAGCATGTTCGGATGACGTGCGAGAACCAATGAGGTTCAGTCTAGTGTTACACAGCACTTTTGAGCTTCCGCAAGAACCAATGAGGTTCAGTCTAGTGTTACACAGCACTTTTGAGCTTCCGCAAGAACCAATGAGGTTCAGTCTAGTGTTACACAGCACTTTTGAGCTTCCGCAAGAACCAATGAGGTTCAGTCTAGTGTTACACAGCACTTTTGAGCTTCCGAACCAGTGAGGTTCGTTCTTATGTTACACAGCACGTTTAAGCTTCAGCAAGAGGTTTGTTCTCACAAGTCTTTTATGTTCTCTGATCAATATTTATGTGTGAATAAAAGGCTAAATTCTCAGGCTCTCTTCTAAGCTCTCAGGTTTCATTTAAAATATCTTTATTAATTTTTTTCAAAGATGAAAAAGTCTTATGGGTTTGGAATGACATGAGAGTGAGTAATTGATGACAATTTCTTCATTGTTGGGTAAACTAACCCTTTAAGGTGAAAGGGAAGGCATAACAGTGTGATTAAAGATGTAATTACATAAATTAATTATAGCTATAATTACATGCAGTTATTTTAAAATATAAGTACAATGTAAAAGACGTATGAGTGCGCTTTATCAAATGATTCAAATGTATATTTAATTATATTTAAATGTTAGTAAATAGTAATGAAAGACCAAGCATTTTTTATATGAAAAAAAAATTGTATCCATTAGAGGCTCATTTGGAGCATCTGTTCCTGTTGGTTAATGTTTGCTCAGATACAGTAAAGGCCTCTTTAGTAAAAAGCACAGATTTAAACTACTCAGAATGTGTTAAACTTTACTAGATAATTTCATTCAGAAGTTTTAAGCACATGCCACTGTTCAAAAGTTTGGGGTCGGTAAGAAGTCTGTTATGAAAGAAGTCTGTTATGCTCACCAAGGCTGCATTTATTTGTTCCAAAATACAGTAAAATTGGGAAATATTATTAGTAAATAGTTTTTTATATATATATATATATATATATATATATATATATATATATATATATATATATATATATATATATATATATATATATATTGAAATGTCATTAATTGCTGTTATGGCAAAGCTGATTTTTCAGCATCATTACTCAGTCTTCAGTGTCACTTGATCCTTCAGAAATCATTCTAATATGCTGGTTGAAGAAATTGATCAAAAACATTTTTTATTATTATCAATGTTGAAAACAGTTGTGCTGCTTAAGATTTTTTGGGATATAATATTCCTCCAGGCTTTTTTGATGAATAGAAGGTTCAAAAGAACAGCATTTAATGGAAATGTATTGTAACATTATAAATGGCTTTACTGTCTCTTTTGATCAATTTAATGCGCCCTTGCTAAATAAAAGTATAAAAACAAAAAATTTTAAACTCCTACTGACCCCAAACTTTTTTAACGGTAGTGTATACTACTGTATATGTAAATGTAAATTTGCACCCTATTGATATCAAATATGTGTAATAGTATGACGTACATGTGCTTTATTAATGCTGTGTTTCCCATGTGCAGTAATGAGGCCGGGCCTGGGTTCGAGCTGCGTGTGGAGCTGTATAGCTGTTGTTCAGAGGACGACTACTCAGCAGGCAGCACACCGAGGAAGCTGGCCAGCAAGCTGAGCTCGTCTCTAGGCAGGTCAACGGGAAAGAAAATGAAGGCAGGCTTGGAGCCTGGAGCCTGCAGTCCCACCAGTAATGGAGGAGGAGCGACAATCCTGCTGCCTGTGCCCTCTGTACCGTAAGTGTGTAGAAACACACACACACACACACACACACACACACACACACACACACACACACACACACTGCTGCTGCCTGATCCAAAACACAAAAAGTATTGCTGTGAAATGTAGACCAGTGATAGACTTAATGATAAGACTATACTGTTCAATATTTTGGGGTCGGGTAGATTTTTTAAATGTTTTTGAATGTCTCTTATGCTCTCCAAGGCTGCATTTATCTGATCAAAAATACAGTAAAAACAGTAATACTGTGAAATATTATTAAAAAAATTAAAATAACATTTCTATTTTAATATCTTTTCAAATGTAATTTATTCATGTTATTTATTCACAATTAATTTGATTACTTCATCAGCCTATCATGTAATTAATTCAATTACATTTGTATTAGATAGTCCTAGTTTAAATATGTTTGCATATTCCCTGTTTTATGTGTTTACAGGGGGCCCAAATATCATCTTTTGGCTCACACGACCCTCAATCTCTCTCACGTCCAGGACAGCTTCCGCACACATGACCTCACCATCACAGGAAACGGTGAGCTGCCAACTCTTTCTACCACTGCCTTTTTAAAACTGTTTTTAACTAGGAACATCAAAATATACTGTATATATCAGACACAAATTACAGTATTTTATCTTTCTTTTTTACTTTAGATATTAGAATATGTAATTTAATGTCAGAATTTGGTATTTTACATGATTTTGACTATAAGAGTGACAAAATAAGATGCTTTGTCTGATAAAGAGATTGTAATGTCTAAGTTCGGTCATTAAGTGCTTCTGGGATTTTATTTACAGCACATTTGTTTATGACATGATCATTTTCTTCACATTGCAGGTAATCAATTACAGACAGGCCTGCAAAGCACATTTGTATGTGTGTGTGTGTTGTCGACGTCTGTCAGATTTATTGTGTTAGGGTCACGCTCATAAACTTCTCTAGATGGCCAGTCGTGGTGTGTGAAGGGCCAATAAGAGTCGCTTATAGCCGTCTTTATGTCTGAGGAGTTACTGCAGCCTCTTACAGCCTGAGTCTGGGCTGCTCGCTCTCGCAGATGATAGTTTAGTTTGCTGTAAAATATGTACTAAAACTATAGGGTGCGAAACATGATGTCATTTGAATTGCTTGTTTACTGGGTTTTAAAATACAGTTTCTAACTTTGTTAGATCACACATTCTTTTATCATTCTCTCGGTAGGAGTGTCATCATTACTGTCTGATTTTGTCTCTCTCTGTAGAGGAGTGTTCGTACTGGCTGCCTCTGTATGGCAGTGTGTGTTGTCGTCTGGCCGCTCAACCTCACTGTATGACACAGCAGATGATGAGTGGCTGTCTAAGGGTAAAGGTGTGTAGGAAACACACGCACACAGAATATCATTTTTCCCCACTTCACAGTTGTCTTTGGCTAATGTTCTCCTTTCTTTCTCTTTAAGCTTGGAGGTGAGCCACAAGGCTGGACAAATGTCTATGGTGTTTTAAAAGGAACAAATCTCTTCTGTTATCATCAAAAAGAGGACATGGAGGCCAGTGTGGAGCCCGTCTTAACTATTGGTATTAACAAAGTAAGCCACATTCAGTCACTCTGGAAATTTTAAGCATGCTCATGTATGCATGATATCAGGGTCATTTTTCTGCTTTTGGAAATAGCATGAGATAATTCTCCATTGTGTTTTTCATAAATTAATTCTTTCAAATGGATTGTCTTTTTTAGAAAGATGTTTCTGTTCCAAGATGTTTCATTGTGTCAGTAGTCATGAAAAAACTTTTTGTTTGGCGTGCACTGGGAGTGTATCTTTCAGTGCCCCTAGAGAGCTTGTTTTAACATCTGAGAGCTGCACTGTGTGGCTGCACATTCCTCAGGTCTCAGGTGACTGCCGGGCACGGCAGGCGCTTTACTTGTGCACTGCTGCCACCTACTGAAATTACTACTAAATACTCCAAAACATGAGCTTTTTTTTACAGTTTAGGTATTACTGCATCACATCTGACTTAATCATAACTGCATAGTTTGTAATGTTTTAAAAGAAAAGTTTGAAAGTGAAAAATTAATATCTTACATCCTTTGGATGTCTTTAAATATCGTATATGCTTTAAAGGAATGTAATGTAAGCTGTAATATATAGTCAACCAGTCATTATTGCAAAATAAAATACATCAGACTGTACATTAGTCTGCTTATTACATGGATACATACCAAACAAATAAATAAATTACATTAAATTTGAGTTTAAATTATTTTATATTGTTAGAATAAATAGACCACATTCAAAAGTGATTAAAAAAACTATATAAAGTTGATATTATTATTGTCAAATATACATATGTGAGTGGTGAACCATTACCTATGGTTTTGTTTCAAATTAGCATACTTTTTAATTCTTGCACAATTTGCTGACCCAAAAACTTCTGAACGATAGTTTATATATATATATATATATATATATATATAATTTATAATGTGTTGTTTTCGTGTGTCTATTTCAGGAGACAAGAATAAGAGCTGCAGAGAAGGACCCTCACAGCAAGGCACAGAATATCTGTATCACTAACCAGTATGGAGGAGAGGAGGTGACACACACACTAGCAGCGGACAGCAGAGAGGACACACAGCACTGGATGGAAGCATTCTGGCAACAGTTCTATGATATGAGTGAGTAAATGAACTGTCAACTTACTAAAATAAACCATATCTTGCACTAAGTGACTAAGTTTATACAAAAACCATAAGCCACAAGAAATTAACATTACGGTGCAAAAGTTCATTAAGGGTGCAGTAAGCGAATTCTAAAAGAAACGCTGTTGAGAGTGAGCGAGTGAGAGAGAGAGTGAGCAAGAGGGAGATTTGAAGAAAGAGAGATGGCTGAGAGACATTACAAAAGAGAAAATATCAGAAGAAAATCACTGAAAAAAAAGGGTTATGATCAGGCAAGAGCTTTAAGACCTGCAATAATATTAGAAAAGCTTTCCAGAGCTGGAGAGAACTTCGTGGGAAGGCCTGAAAACGGGGTTGCGTTGTTTCTGCTCCATACATGAGTAACATTGGTTTTGCTATGTTTCCCAGAACCAAGATATGCTGTTGTAATGTTAGTTTTGAGTCATTCTCTGGAGCTGGTGTACTGCTGGCGACTAACAACCACCTCTTGCTTGTATATACTGTACTCGTGTACTGTATGTTATTTTTTTGTTCTTCCTTGTCGTTCGTTCGTCATCTATGCTTTATTTTTCGCAAAGCATTATTTTGCTTCCCTTAAGCTATGATAATTCGCTCTTGCATTGCGTATTTGTGCATTTTAGTGATGGAGCAATGAAGAGAGGGGCATGTTTGTTTGGGTTGATTTCAGATATCCACAGTGTTTCTCAGAAATTGCTTACTGCACCTTTAACTGTGGTAAAATCATGTTTATGACAGCATTTGAGTAGCTTTTTGCTATTATGAAACTGCGAGGGCAGCAATATGCTAAAAGACACAATGCTCAGTAATATATACGGTAATACATACATATTATTTAACAGCATTCAATTATTTGTAATAATAGTAATACATTTATGAATAATAATTGAATAATTGTAATTGCGATAAATAATTCTTCTGCAAAGTAATATGGTTTATTAGCCTGATTGCAGGCTTAAAGTGCTTGCCAAAAAAGCTTGACTAAGCCACTTGCTCCCTCTACAGGCCAGTGGAGGCAGTGCTGTGACGACCTGATGAAGATCGAGCTGCCTTCACCACGCAAGCCTGCCATAGTCACGCCGAAGCAGGGCTCCCTGTACCATGAGATGGGTGAGTGCGTTCAGACACATTTACAGAGGCTGGAGGAATTTGAAGCCCTACGTTGTCACAAAATAAAGACCACCAGCACTTAAGAGCCATAACACTAGTCAGATGATGACAGAAATAATGCACAAGCAGGATTTCCTGTCATGAATAACACAGACGTGTCTAACAATGATGTGTGGATTGAACTGCATGTCCTAGTCCTCTGTCAGATCTTTCTCGTAATCAGTTTATCTCCTTTTAACTGCTAAATGAGAAATCTGCTGTTTCTGACAAATTGACAGTCTTTTCTCTCTCTCTTTCTCTTCGCTGATGGTTTCCTGCCTGTTTTTTCCCTCCTCTTTCCTTTTGTTCCTCACTATTGATTTTTCATACACTCATGTACATTCCTGGTTTCATGCCTTAAATTTGTATTCCAAACATCCATCCCATACATTTACCCGACCACTGTACCATTATTTGGTTACTATATAAACCCTCATTCCCCGTGCCCTCCCCACAACCCTGGTGCATTTTGCTGCCCTCCCCCTCCCCCTCCCCCTCCTCAGTGGCCCCTGCATCCGGTGAGGGGCTTTTGCTGCAGGATAACGCTGTCTCTGCTGAGATCCGAGCTCTGCTCTCCTCCTATTACAATGACAGGTGAAGTAACTGTGATGAGGTTACCTGACCTCACCTTCTACCCACATAAAATGCCACTGTCCCACGTCATCCCAACATTTTTTTGTCACCCCGTGACCAACAACTTTCAAATTCTTGAAACAAGATTTCAATTACGGTCCTAACCTTTTATACATTCAATGAATAATACATAAATTACTTTCATTATTTTATTTTAATTTCACTTATTTTATTTCAACAATATATTTTATTCTAAAAAGTAAAAAATATTATAATAATAAATGGAGCAATTCCAAGAGGGTCCTCCTCACACCATCGGTTCTCGGGCCTTAAAAATATAAAATGTTAAAATAAAATGAGTAAAAACAAAACAAGATAATTTATTTTCAAGAAAATTACTTATATTATTTTAATTTAATTCATTTTATTTCAATAATTTATTTTATTCTAAAAAGTGAAAAATATAATATTAAAATTTAACTTAAGGTATTTAAGGTTTTACTTTTTACCAGTTCATTTTAATGTTTTTTTTATTATATTTTATTGTATTTTCACTTTTTGTGCACAATATATAACAAAATAATTGTATTTTATTTTATTTTATTTTTATGATATGATATTATTTTATTTTAAGCTCAGATTACATCAGATTCCAACATGTAATTGCGAACGATTCCAGTTTGACAATATTTTGGTGTGAGAAGAAGCTCAGTGGTAAAAAGTTAAAAAACCGTCCACTTAGTCGTTCAAGAACATCCTCAACATCTTGCTCTTAGTATGTAAATTAACCCTCTGGGGACTAAGCCCTTTTTGGTCCGTTTTCTCTATTTTTACATTTGGGCTTATAAACCATATGTAATGGAGATAGAACACTATGTGTTTGGTATCTATGGATTCAGAAGACCCTAAGCTAACATAATCATGCATGCAATGTGTTTATAAAGGAAGTACGAGTGAAAAATGTACTATAAACTAGAGAATTTCAAAAACGGAAATTAGATTTTTGTCATTTATTTCTGAAAATCACACATCACACAATAATAGTGAACAGTTTTTGAACAAAAAATATATTTGTCAAACCCTTTGCTTGACAGACATGTGTAATTGTTAAATAAAATGTGTAAAGAACAATGAAAAATTTAACTTTATTTACAAATAGTCCTAGGCGTTTTTCTTAGGAATGCTTAGAATTTTCTAATCAATGCGATCTCCTCGTCACTCTCCAGTAATTGTTCCAGAGCTTGTTCCACCGTAAATCTTTACTGCTTGCCATCATAAAAGTGCTAAAACAATAAATAATGCTATAATTGTATGTGTATATATATATGTATATATATATTATAATTGTTCTGTCTCTCTCTCATAAATCTCTGATAATCCGCTCCGTAAACCTCCGTTTGCTCTCCCTCCTTCTCTCCATTCAACGCTGTTTGCGTCATATCCCTAACTATATAGTACCACCCCTTGCAAGGCTATAGAGTCCTCTGATTTGCTAGAAACGTCTTGGTAACCTTCCTCTGATTGGGTAAGAAAAATATTTCTCCATCGGCAATTTTTCCATTGGTTGCTGTTCGCGGAATCTGCCAAACAACATCGATTTCATTGGCCTTTTACATGGTGGTATTGCGCAACAAGGAAGTGTGTATATTTACAAGCCGGGTGAGTTATCACTGTTTTCAGCGGAATCTGAGGAAGACGGTAAAAAAGACCGCACCTCTCTATCACTAATAGTTTTTAAGATAATTACACATTTGTAAAAGTATGCCATTTTGGGCGGTACCGCCCAATCCGTCCCCAGAGGGTTAAGCATGCAACTGTAAATAGACTGATAGTGTCGTTCCAGGAGGGTTTTTTTTATTTAGAAACAGGTTTTCATTGTGGCTCCTGTTTCTCTTCCGTCACAGTTATTGACGCCTCTGACGACATTGGAACGGTCACTGACATCCTGGCGCGTCGTATTGAAGAGTTTGAGCTGAGGACCCAGCTCGAATCGCCACCTCACTGGATGTCCCTGTTTGCAGAAGATCCCCCGAGAACGCCCCTCAACCGCCAGCACCTGCCACCCCACTCGCCTAGCCCTCGCCTGCACAGCCGCCAGCCCCGCAGCCCACGCTGCCACCGCACACCCGGCCTTCTGTCCTCCAACGCCAGTCTGACCTCAGACAGCGACAGTCCCGCCAGCGCCAGCCCCTGCTTCCGCCAGGCATGGTCCCCCGACACCTCTTCCTCCTCCGCTCACTTCCGCCCGCGTACCCTCTCCCTGGACGCCAAGCTCTCCACTCTGCGCTTCCGGTGCGCCTGCCAGCCGCCCACCGCCGGCTCTGTGTCTCCTCGCCCCGCTCAGACTGCTCTGTCCTGCTCCAGTTCCACTTCCAGCAGCAGCTCCAGTGAGGGCAGCAACAGTCAGGAGTCAGACCTGGGCTTCTCTAGACCGTCCAGCGCTCGCCGCAGCCTGAGGAACCTGAGAGCCAAGCTAGACCCCAGGAACTGGCTGCAGAGTCAGGTGTAGCTGTCACACTTCCTCTGGTTACTATCAGAGCCATCGTAACTTCCTGTGTCCCCCTGGAAAAAAACTGGAATACCTGAGGTCATGTTTGCTCAACATCTGTCATTGCATCCTTTTTACATCAACTGGGAGAGACAACATGCAAAATTAACTTTTTCTTCTGCCTTTTAAAGGAGCTTCTACAATGGGAACTGAACATATAATACACCATGATATATATACAGTATAGCATTACACATTGTCTCTGCATGAAATGGCCATTATTTTGGACCTTTGGAGAAAGTTGTGTTTTTATGTGAGAGAGATTCCTGATACAGTGGTTTTAGACTGGACTGAAGCAGTTGCCTTGGTGTTGTAAGATCTGAATTTTTTTACTTTTTGACCAGCTATTGTTTCAGTGCATCGTTTTAGATATATGCTTTAGAAGGTGCTGTTAGGCTCAACACTGTCTCAAGTATTCGTCATCACAAACATTAAAGGCTGGCCATACACTACCATTCAAAAGAAGTTTGGGGTCATGTGATATTTTTCTATTGTTTATTTTTTGAAAGAAGTTTCTTATAATCACCAAGCCCACATTTATTTGATCAAAAATATTTATCAGAAAATGCACTTTATTCCTGTGATGGTTAAGCTGAATTTTCAGCATCATTACTCCAGTCTTTAGTGCCACATGATCCTTCAGAAATCACTCTAAAATTATGATTTGCTGCTCAAGTTGTGCTGCTTAATCTTTTTGTGGAACAGCATTTATTTGAAATCTACATTTTTGTAACAATGTAATGCTGGATTAAAAAAAAAAATTATTTCAAAAGATATCTTTCTGACCCCAAACTTAAATTTGTTGTGTATTTTCAGGATCAATGAGTTTCATGGAAACACAGTATTAATAAATCTAACGTGTGAAAGTTAGCTTAAAGGAGAGTTCACCTAAAAATGACAATTCTGTCATCATTTCCACCCTCATGTCATTCCAAACCTGTATTACCTTGTTTCCTCTGTGGAACATATTTTGATATTTTGAGAAATGTCTCATTGTTTTCTTCCATATAAGTCAATGGTATCCAAAACGGTTTGGTCACTAACATTCTTCAAAATCTGTTAGTTTGTGTTCTACATAAGAAAGTCATACAGGTAAATGATATAAATTCATGTGAGTAAATGACAGAATTGTAATTTTTGGGTGAACAATCCTTTTACCACTGATGAATTTCACTTTATTAACAAGTGAAACTGCATCTTAAGATCACCAACCTGCAAGTTACCAATAATTGACTTTCTTTCAAGGTGCACTCGAGTCATTTTTGTTGATGTTGTGCTAAATGGTCGCTTTGGACATCTCGTGGTGTGGATGCAGCATCAAAAATCAATATTTTTCATTTGCAGGAATGCTAACAGTCAGCTATGAGTAATCTCTTCTTTGGCAAAAGTGTCTAATAACAGGAGAGTTACTGAGTTAAAGTGAGCACAGTAATATTGCTGGTCATGTGATCTTAACATGGCCGCCCCCATAAAGTGACCCGCTCCATATAAAATAAAATTAATATGACTGTAGTGAGAGTATGTGATTTGATGCATATTTTTCAACAGTTTCACCTGAGGAAGAGTGCATCTTTAACAAACAATACGTCTATAAATATCTGCTACTCTTTTCTTTGCATGGCTTCAATATATATATGCAAGGTCCAGACGTCTGGTTTATAATGATGGGATATATAATGTGACTCCGTTTACTACCTGTGACTGTGATGACCTCAGGATTACTGTACATACCTTATCATGCTCTGCAAATGTGAACCCCCACAAGTCAGAAAAAGTTTTTTTTTTATCAGAATGCACATTAACCAGTATTCAGCACAAGCTATGAAATATGGCTGACAGTTGGAACGTTTTGGTTGCTTTGTTTTGAGCCATTGCAGAAACGGCCTGTCTGATTGAGAAGGGTTGCAAAGGCACTACTATGCAAAGCTACAACAGCTCAAAGATAATTGTGTATTGTAGATATGGTTTACATAAGCGGTACATGCATTATTTTAAGATTTCCTTTTTGGCAAAGTACTTAATGTACTTCTAACTGCTGAATTTGAGTGTTTCAGTGTCATAGCGCATCTTCCAGATCAGATAAACTGTGTATTTGCTTGAAGACTATTATATTAGCAATATTTACAATAATGCAAGTCTAGTTGGATAACTGTTATTGTGATTTCAGTAAAGCCTCAGGAGTGAAGTTACAGTCTATCTTGCCATAAAAATATTAAAAATACAGGTTAATAAACTTTTCTGTATTGCAGAAAGCATCTACTCAAAATATTAAGTATCCAAACCTGTATTATATTTTGATCTTTCATTTGAGATGAAGATAGAGCTGATAATCTGATAGAGACATGTTTTCTTTATAATGATTACATGTATAGTGTTTTACAAATTTCATAAAGTTGGAAGTGTAGAAATAGCAGACTAACTTTTCCTCTTAAATCCAGAAGTAGTAGAGAAAAGTTTTGTCCTAGTAACTATGATGCTACATCATTAACAGTTCTCAATCAGTCAAAGGGCCACTGGCATGTATTTAAAAACTGTAAATTCATTCAAACAATAATTGTTATTGTAAAGTTTTGTAATTTTCATTTTGTGCTTTTATTAAAGTTGTGTTTTACCATATTAATTTTTGTTATAAATAAAATTATATTGACATTCTATCAGGCGAGTAAAGCTCTAACTATCCTTGTAGAGAACATTGAATGTTAACTTGGAGGTAAGTGTCATTTCAGCAGGTTGTATGTCTCTGGACAAATCAGTTATAGATTCATGTACAAAAACAATTTATTGTAAGAAAAAAAATAATGACCTAAATTAAAGGACACCAGCCGTTTTGTGTGCGTGTATGTATGATTCTCTTTAATTCATGCAGTGATGATTTTAACTAGACTAAATGTTCAAAAGAGTAAACTCATTATGTAAAATGAATCCCTTTAATTTGATCGCATGCATTACATGGTGAATATGGTTGCTGATTATGATACTCAGTGTACTGGCTGTGCAATAACTCAAAAACATGAAAGCATTATTGCAGAATGTGAATAAAACATAAACATAATCATTTATTACAATAAGAAATCACTAACAGAGAGCATAGAGTAAATTAAATGTGTGTCAGGTGCGATGTATGATCTTCCGCATTAATACAGAAGAACTTTGTTAGTTGAAAGTGTACCTATTACTGAAATCTGGTTACTCAAATTAAATGGATTAGACAGAGCCTCTCTGGGATCTATGTTCATGGTCAGAGATAAATAAATTACATAGAAAAACAATGTGTATTCGATAGTATTTACACAACAGTGAACATTGTCTTATTGTACACTACCATTCAAAAGTTTGGGGTAATTTTTTGTAATGACATTAATACTTTGATTTAGCAAGAAGAATGCATTCAATTGATTCAAAGTGACAGTAAAGACATTTATAGTCTTATAAACAATTTCGATTCAAAATGAATGCTGTTCTTTTAAACTTTCTATTCATTAAGGAATAGAAGGGGGAGGGTGGGGAATATCATGGCTTCCACAAAAATATTAAGCAGCACAACTGTGTTTAACATAGTTTAGTATTACTACAATAAGAAACGTTTCTAGAGCAGCAAATCAGCATATCAGTTTGATTTCTGAAGGATCATGTGACACTGAAGTAATGATGCTGAAAATATATTTAATTAGAAAACAGTTATTTTAAATTGTAACAATATTTCACAATATTACAGTTTTTACTACCTTTTTGATCAAATAAATGCAGCCTTGGTGAACAAACTTCTTAAAAAACATTTTTTAAAAATCTTACTGACCCCAAAGTTTTCAACGGTAGTGTGTATGGAAGAATTTCATTTTGACAGAAGGTTCAGAGCATTTAAAAACATGCAATGGCTGCAAACATCTGTTATATCGGTATCTGCTTTATAAGATAAGACACTTAAAATTAGATTTTTTAAACCATTTCATTTACATTGGCTTTCATAATAGCGAGGGGTTTCAAATATTACACTAAAACAATAATTTCAGGAGAAGTTCCTTTCTCTAAAGGCACAATGTTGGAAGAGCAGAGTTTTGACCCACCAGTTGTGGTTCATTCCCTCTGTTAGGCTAGTTTGTATCATTGGATACCACTTTCTCAAGTGTCTACTATGATCAAATAATTTGGTCTCGGCAATGGCAACTTTTGTATTGTCTGCACACCTTTGCAGGTATGACACCATTCAGAATGCTGTAAGCACATCTCTGCTTTAAAAAAAAACATTACATGTTACAACTATATAACCTACATTATCAAAATGTCTCATACTGGTACTATGAAAGTACTAGTTCTGAAAAAAATAGTTTCTATACTCAGGGCCAAATGTTATGTGACTGTAAGCTGGATTTATGTGTAAAAGAGAAACTGAAATCTGTTCTCCAGTTGACACCGCCACCACCTTTGGTATCATTTAGTAATGATAAATGTAACAACTGTATGTAAAATAATAAATGATGTAATGTGTAAACGATAAAATGATGATAATGTGTGTACAATTGTAAACAAAATTGTACTGAATCAGTCTCTCAGCTCACATCATGTGAGAATCCTCCTCAGTCTTGCAGTTGATGATCATTAAAACCTCAATTGTCGACTTTGGCTGCTTGTTTTGGAATGCAAGGAATCGTTGGGCGAGTTGTGCCTGTGAACACTTCCCTTCCAAACCCTTTTCCTGTGACTCTTAATCTCAGAGTACATGGTACATCCTCATAGACTGGGTTTTGCGGTTCTCGGTCCCTGAGAAATGGTAAAAAGAAAAGAGGGAAGAGAAACCGTCTTTAGATGGTCTCTACAAAGTTGGCAGGAAAGAGACCCTGGCGTCCATCTTTGCTGGAGCCCCTCCACCACGCTTTGTCGATTGTTTCCACATCACTGATGATGTCACCAGGTTCAAAAGAGAGCTCATTTTCATCCTCTGTGGAGAACAGGGAAGTTTCAAAGGACATCTCAAATGACAAATTACACAACACTGCCGTTGAAGCAAACAACACTAACCTGCTTGGTAGTCATACAACGCTCTCACACGCAGAAGGCTTTCTGGTGATGACTAGAGTAAGAAGGAAGAAAATTTTGTACTGCTGAATTGTTTAATCACATAAAGATGTATTATGGGTCATGATGTGTGGTGTTGTATGTACTTCGCCATTCTCAGTCACCAACTCTGCTTGGATTTCATCTAATTCTTCCTCCTCACGATTAACCGTGTAACAGAACCGCTCAGGTGTGCTGTGCTCAGATACATCAATATCCTCTACTTAAAAACAAAACAAGGTGTAAAACTCATCATTCATGTATTTATATATATATATTGACCACACAAGAGACAACAAAACTAGATAACTTAAGTCTGAAATACAACTTTTGCCCTGAACTGCAGTCCGGAGAAGTCAGTCCTACTTCCTGACAGTCAGCTCCAGTCTGCAGAATTTGGGCAGTCAAGAGTTGACAGATTTCCCAGAATATCGCATAGTTTATGATGTGCACAAACATTTTGTTTTAGCTTCCGTCCAGTCAGAGCATATCAAACATGTCTGATATTTTGAGTCGATTTTAGAACATTTCGATTTTTCATTTGTCATGATTTTGTTGTGTTTGGAACAACTTACCTCCAATTAGCTCAGGACCTGTACCATTCAGTGGTCTGCCACATTCAGATTCATCTTCTTCAGTCATCAGATCATACTCTGATGTGTTCACACACGACTCTGAACACACAGCACAAGAAACATGTCTTAAAAACCTTAAAAACATTCTGCATTTCTTCACGTCACATCTGTGTTCCCATCACCTGGGCTTTTTGGTAGGTCTTCCTCAACTTCATCATCTGAGATCGGTACCACGTTTCTGGGCATGTGGTTGACATTAGGGTGGAATTCCTCAGATTCTGCTTCATCCTCAGACTCTGACTCATCAACCTCCACCAGGGAGCTGATGACACTCTTCTCATCCTCAGGCTTAAATTGTTCCTCTACGATTTTCACCGCTTCTTCATAGTTTGTGGTGATCACAGTATCTGAAGGTGGAACTGACATGGCTGAAGTTTCCTCTGGATCTTCTACCTCTTCTTCATCTTCATCTTCTTCGACCAGCACAGTCTTGACAGTGAAGTCCACTTCTGGTTCACACAGCATTCCAGAGCCAGTTACAAGCTCTGGAGGGAAGATATTGCCAAGATGAGTCATTCTACAAGACCATTTTCAACCATTTAGACCCAAGTAAACTTACCCGTATTGTGCCGTGGGTTATCAGAGAGTGAAGCTGGAAAACGTTCTGTTGTGACAGCGAGTTTCTCCCTGCTAACGTCATAGGTGCAAGATTCTGACTTGTCGTGACTATCCAGCAGCTTTGGAGACACAGGGGAAGCGGAATCGTGTACAGGGGCTTGAGGAGGTGGCCGGCTGGGAGGTGACGACTGGGGTGGAGGGGGTCTGGTGACAGGTAGAATGAGTGGGAGCGACACCGGTGGGACAGAGCGTGGGGAAGGTGATGGGGAAGGAGATGTTTCAGGATGCTGTGGTGAGGGGATCATCTGGTAGGGTGGACTAAGTGGGGATGTTGGACGTTTAAGGGACGTGGAATGGGTGCGTGAGAATGGAGACCTTGCAGAGGGACTGTGTGGGGATGTGGGACCAGAATAGGAGTTGGCCCTCTCAAAGATGAAGGCTGTGTCTGTCAAACTGCGTTGGTAGCGACGGAATGGAGATTTTCCTGAGGACCAGAACATAAGTCAAAAGAACCTCAAAAAAATACAATGAACACTGTAAGTTGAAAAAGTCCAGGCATTGTGGGTTTCTAAAGGCCTTGTTTACCTGATTGTGGTGATCCAGGGCTTGAAGAATTTTGTGAGGATGCGGATAACTGCCTAAAAAACTCCCTGGGATTGATGCTGCGCTGGGAAACAAGTACTGCTGCCTCCTACAGGACAAAAGAAGAAGCATTGTTCAATCCAGCAATGTGTTTGTGTTGATAAAGGAATAGATATGAATGGGCCTTAAAGCAGAGGTTCTCAACTGGTTTTTCTTCAGGACAGATTACAATGCACATAAAGTGATGACCCAACCAAAATTCTTTAGGGTGCAAAATACACTTCAATTGGTTACATGCTTTCGGCAGTTTCACCACACAAAACACTTAAATCATGCTTATTCTTGTTGCAAGTTAAAAGGTTCGTTCACCCAAAAATGAAAATTATCCCATAATTTACTCACCCTCAAGCCATCCTAGGTGTATATGACCTTCTTTCAGCCAAACACAATCAGAGTTATATTAAAAAACATCCTGGCTCTTCCAAGCTTTATAATGGGTGTGAATAGTAAATGAGATTTTGAAGCCCAAAAAAAGTGCATCCATCCATCATAAAAGTAATCCATATGGCTCCAGGGGGTTAATAGAGATGCATGCGATGCATTGTGAAGCAAAGCAATGTAATTTTGTAAGAAAAATATCCATATTTATAACGTTATAAGCTAGAATCACTGGCTTCCGTGCACAAGTTGAGTTCCGGCGGAAGAGTGAACTCTGACCCGACGCATGACGTATTGACGAACGCAAAAGCACAGAGGATAGAGCAAAACAAAACACTGGTCTTGAATTAGAAGTCTAAAATGAGAATGTTTAAAAAGAAATGTCGGAGGAGCTTGCTTGAGTTTGTTGCCCAGCTCTATTTGTTTGAACCGCGAGAGGCGTCTACTCTCACCTAAGCTTACGCTACTCCTACATCCTACATCACACGCCGGACCTCAACTCTCTCGTGAACGCGGACATACATTATCGGAAGCTAGTGATTGCAGTTTATAAAGTTAAAATTATGGATATTTTTTCTTACAAAAACACATCGCTTCGCTTCAGAAGGTCTTTATTAACCCCCTGGATCCGTATGGATTACTTTAATGATGGATGGATGCACTTATTTTGGGCTTCAAAATCTTAGTTACCTTTACTCCCATTATAAAGCTGGGAAGAGCCAGGATATTTTTAAAATAACTCTGATTATGTTTGGCTGAAAGAAGAAAGTTATATAGGATCACCTAGGATGACTTGAGTATGGGATAATTTTCATTTTTGGGTGAACTAACCATTTAATGTAGTGTAGCCTGGGTAATACTTTCTTTTACACTTTTACCTTGCACAAAATACCATCAAGTTTGATTGGAAGCAGCAAGATAAGGAAGTGTTTCTCTCCTCCTTTTAAAAGCTAATCATTATTTTTTTATTACGATAATAGTGAATCATATGGTTCTTTTTTCATTATTTATTTTTTTCTCCTAAGAACAACTGCATTACAGTACATTATTGCAGGAATACACAAAAAAAACTAAAGTAAAGCCAACAAAACAGTGTTTGGAACTTATGATCTAATAGATTGTAATAATAAAGTTTCAAAAGACAGAGCGAGAGTAGTTTATAAACCCTAGTGTAGTTATTGTAGTTAAGAACTACACTAGATTTACTTCAGGTTGTACAGTCAGAATATGGATGATTCACAAAAAGAGAAAAACTAACTGCTGCTTTCTCAATGGACTCGCTGCGTCTAAGTCGGGCCCTCATGTCCTCCTCATGCTCTCTCTGCTGCTCCACCTGTCGATTGCACGAAGAACCCAACGTCATTACAGGATATGACTACATGATCATTTACCCATATGCAGGTTCATTACCATGTTTAAAAGCTTACAACTTTTTCAAATCTCAGTAAAAGAAACTGAATACACTTATTAACGCACTCACCCATTTCACTTTTTCCTTATTTTTAGCCTTTTCCTCAAGCTGAGCCTGGATCCTCCTGAGAAAAAAACAACAACAACAGGAAGGTAAAGCTGAAGGAATGAATTCTCCTTCCGACAGAAGTGGTTTTTGATCAGGTGGACAGCGCAAACCTTTGTTCTTCAATCATCTGTAGCTTTTCGTTCATCTTTCTGTCTCTCTCTTCAGCCTCTTTTTTCTCCTTTAGAACTCGTTCTCTCTCCCAGCGTCGTCTGTCTTCTACAGCCCTCCGACGTTCTTCCTCCTTTCTCTCCTCCTCCTCACGCTAAAACACATCATATTACACAGATTTGTGATACATTGCATCTGAATAGAACTTTTCATAACTGGAGTCTGAACAAGAAGTTTGTGATAAACAAACTGATTATAATATAAATTATTACACAGCTATCTTGATTCTGGTCAATTGCAAATATTAAACTTAAATCAAATATTTTTGTATAAGGGCTGGTTGACTGTACATTATTCCTTACTGACATGGCTGGGATATTTCTATTAATAGTATTGTTTTTGAGGAATCTTGCTTGATACATTTGAATTATTTTTGGTCTTTTGTTAAATATTGGCAAAATCTGCAGCATTATGGGGATGTTTGGGAAAGTGCAGCAATGAACATAGTTGAAGCTGTACCTCTGCACGTGCCCAGAAGGAGTCTCTGTTAATCCGTCTCATCTCCATGGCAGCATTTGTCTTCTTGTAGTTTGTGCCCTGTGGGTGTGGCACACAAATGCAACAAAACACCCAAAACATCAATGAGAGACAATTAGACCACGTCCCTTAAGTGCATCAATAAATTATACTGAGAAGCAGACTTCTTCTATGTTAATGAAGGAAGCCCTTGTATTCAGCAAAGTCTTTTTTTTTTTTATGGTAATTTACCACAGTCTCCTCCTTATCCATTGCCCTTGAGGGTCTCCTCAGTTTCTCCATTGGAGGTCGAATCTTTGCAATAGCAGCCATAATCTGCTCCTCTGTCACCTCATCTTGCTCCGAGGCTGTAATAAATACTTGAGCCTCCTGTGATGACACAAACATCAAGAGATAAAAAATAATGACCACATCGTTGAAGCTGTTCCATATGAACACACTTAGCTAAGTAAGATAAGTTTGCATCTCAATGTGTCTGCTGTTTTATTGCATTTAGAATAAGAACTGACTGTTAATCTGATAATATTCTGCAAAATTCGATTTTTCTCTGTATCTATGTAGACAACAAATACAGAGCTACAGAGTATTTTTCTCCGGCATCATCAGCTTTTATACTATTAGTAAAAGTTAGCATATACAAGGATAGAAAGCGATTCACATTATTCTCAGTGTGTATTTTAATATTTGGCCTATTATAATATTTATCTGGCCTGTTGCAAAACAGTTTTACACACATTTTTACAGTAAACATGCAAATTTACTTTGTTAAGAACAATTTTAATATAATGAATTAATTAATAAAAAATAGTGATAACTAAATATCAGTGAAGGACTTGTAATGGCATATACGAGAACAGACTATGGGTCGAAATTATTTTCATTTGTATATCAGAGGAAATAAGAATGTATAGGCCCAAAACTAACATGTCTGTATACTACATTTTCCTGTCATCAGCATCAATCTACAGCTCTGAGGTCACTGAGATGAAGATCCATTGAGGATTTATGTGGTTAATCGCTGCTCAACAAAACACCTCAGATCACTAACTGAATATAGTGTAAGATAGAGTGATCTGGTTTATGGGAGAGAAGGAAGGGAGTAGAAAAGCAATGAAATAGACATTGTGCCGGAGGGCCTTGAGAGTGCAGGATTGGGCTCCAACCCAACAAAACCCACAGCTTTACAATGGATTACCACACTGTTACATTCAGCCCTCTTTCCACATTTCTCTGAAACGCACAAGAACTTGAACGTGTCAGGACCAATTTGTTCACTCGTTGCTTTTTCTGTGACTGAAATGACTTTATCTACAGAACATTAGGTTGAATTCTCCTCCCTTTTATCTCTTTTTCTGCTCGGGAGGAGTTAAATGACTTAATTATCTGTTATTACTTGCTTTAGATGAGCCCCTTGACATGCAGTTAGCCCCAGGGCTTTAGCGGTGATGACAGTATGAACAGCACTGAGGATAGATGCTCTCCCATACACACACCTCACACCTGCAGCTGACAGCACTTACATATCTGATCTCAGATCACACTCCATCAACCAGAAAACAAAAATCACAAACCATCCACTTTATTTTTCAGGAAAAAAATGAGGTGGCCATTTGTAATTTTCCCGTGTCTGGCTTCCGGTGTCATTCGCTCCCAGTTATTTTTAGCAGTACAAAACAGCTTGTTATGCTGCTTGATATTGCAAAACTGGTATTTCTTACCATACTATTTTAATGTAGTGTCTTAATTATAAACACGCTGGTTTGTAGCGCAAACAGTTTTACAGTTTACTGCACTTTAAAACTTTCTTCTCGTTATTTCCCAATAGCGGCTAATAAATCGGAAGTCTCGCACATTCACAGGAAACACCTTACTTCCGTGTTGAAAAATAAGGTGGATAGTTCAAAGTAAGTTATAGTTAGTTCAACGTCTAGGTCAAAGGGTCATTAATATATATACAGTATATTTCTGTTTTTGAAAGATTCATTAAACCGATCAAAAGTGACAAAGACATTTATAATGTTACAAAAGATTTTGGAATCTCTTTGGAACTTTATTTGAGGAATCCTAAAAAAAAAACATTATCCCAGTTTCAACAAAAAATATTAAGCAGCACAGCTGTTTTTAATGTTGATTATAATAAGAAATGTTTTTGAGCATTAAACCAGAATTTTTGAATGATTTCTGAAGGATCATGTGACACTGAAGACTGATGAGTAATGATGCTGAAAATTCAGCTTTGCCATTACAAGAATATTTTACAATATTACTGTTTTTACTGTATTTTTGATCAAACGAATGCAGCCTTGGTGAGCATAAGAGACTTCTTTCAAAAACAACCTGAAAATTGTCAACAGATTAGAGATAATATATTTACAGTTCCCTTTATCAAAGCAAAATAAAAATCTGTTGAAGTTTACAACATACCCCTGCTTGAGAATTGTTAGTCTAAGAAACATACATCTTATAATCTTGATGTTTGCTATTCATAAACTGCTGTGAAACTAGTGATTAATGGTTATCATTGATTACATTGACTAATGTATATTATCCACCGAGATGACTCATTTACAATTTGTTTTAAGCCCTAAAGAGCTGACTAGTCATTCTGCACACATGACAGCCCTTACTAGCACAGACTCGTCATGAAGAGACAATACAAAGTGTGAGTGATAAATGGAGAAAGCAGGGAGGAGAAACTGGAGGGATTTAGACTTCAATGTTGCTCATCTTATTACTGATACTCTGAAGGCACATCTCAGAAGCCAACACGTACACTATGATAAATGAGTTTGGCTTTTACATTTGGTTCAGTTCCCCATGACTGAATGTCTTTGGAGACTAGGCCTGGACTAGAGACCGGGGGGGGGTGGGGTGTTATTGATCCTAAAGGGATATTCCACCCAAAAATTTAAATTCTGTCATTATTTACTCATATCATTCCAAACCTGTAAGACTTCTGTAGAAGAATTCTTCATATATCAGCTTTTTAATGTTTTTGTCCATACAATGAGAAATTCATACAGGGTTGGAAAGATATGAAGGTGAGCAAATGATGACAGAACTTTCATTTTTGTTTGAACTAAACAAAAAAACGGTAACACTTTATTTTAAGGTGGCGTAGTTACACGTTACTACATGTACTATAGTAATAACAGTAAATTATGCATAATTACAAGTAACTAACCCTAAATCGAACCCTAATCCTAATCGTATCTCTACAGTAAGTACATATAGTACTTAATAATTAAGTAATTAATATTACTCAAAACTTATTTGAGTAAGTACAATGTAGCTACGTCACCTTAAAGCTGCAGTCCGGAACTTTTCCTCTTTGTCGCCATCTCTCTGTTCGAAATCTGTAACTGCAGTGATTCGCGGAATTATCATCTTTACGTGGGTTGTAAATCGGCATGAAACAGCGCGGATGAACACAGTGCTTTGAGGCGAGTGCTGCTGTCAGTCACCGCGCTGTGTGGATATAATGTCATACAGAATCACAGATTCACTTTTTGAAAGTTTGACCAACATAAGAATTTTCATAAGAAAATGTCTTCTGAACAAGTAAGTAAAATCCATTTTTGTTCTGACCAACTAAGGGGGAAAAAGCATTCGACATGATAAGCTTCGTTAGATTTAATCAACGTGATTTACAGCAACCGTGCAAATTATAGCCTACTTTGTTCTCAAATTGTTCATGTTAACAACATCAGCATTGCGTGACTAATGTTAAATTTAATGTGTTTTATGGTTACCTGTGTAGTTCAGAATTCATATTCTCCATAATAGCAAAACGAGAAAGGCACAACAAAGGAAACTCCATAACTGTGTGAATTAAGAAAACGTACTGTTACACGATTGAACTATTGAAATGTCTTACTTAATTGTTCAGCAGAAAAAAGCCGTCTCTTCTTCCGTTTTGAACCCCTTCAAAACACGGAGTTCAAGCACTTTTCAAAAGCCCCGCCGATGTTTAAATCCTTGTGTTTGCATGAGACGGTTTCTTTCTCTTTCTCTAGCCACCTTAAATCCGAAGTACGAAGTCTTTTGGGTTTTATAACTGCTGAATCTCCAGTTGACACTGATGATTGTTGTTTGGATCTTTCTGGATGCCATAAGTTTAATTATGTAAAGCGCTGCGAGAAAAGCCTATACATCTAAACATCTCGTCACGCGCAGTATAGCCGGCTATAGCCGAAACTCCTTCTTTATGTGTACGGGTGTGACGTCATGACGCAAAGACATGCTCGAATTTCCCGCGGAAACCCACCAGTACCACTGGAATTAAAATCATTATTACAAGCTAACCGTTTTGAATCTAGCTATGGCAAGCAGATAGTTTTGACCACTGGCAGAATAAGTTTTTTTTTTATATAATTATTTTGGATTATTTTTAACTTAAAAAAGTTACGGACTGGAGCTTTAAAATAAAGTGTAACCAAAACATCTGCCAGCATAACTGAAAGAAACACGAGGACATGCATCTGTGGAGTGTCTGTGAATCAGAACGTTTTTCACATTCGTCGTCGACTATGGCTTTCCTGCTGTGTCCAACTGGAGATTTTGCAGGTCCCTCAATCCAAATTTAGAAAGTATATCATTAATTTAGAAGAATACTGAGGCAGAACACTGTAAATGCCTCTGACAGCTTGTCTCCGGCTGTCTGATTTTATCCCATACAGTATGTGCTCTAGTTGGTTTGGGGGCTCAGCCTCTCCCACGCTATAAAACTTAATTGCTGACCCTACATAACCTAACAAAGTTCGTTTGCTTGAACAAGCATCAATCAACACAGAAATAACCCTACAAGATCTAAATCCGAATGAAAATATAATAAAAGACACTTTTGTAACCCACTCGTGCTGACATTTATCACACACAAACACGCATTGTGGATGAACAACACAATACAAGGTCATAAAGTTGTCGATTTCAAAAGAGAGAGAGAAACACTGAGAATTGAATAAACAGCATTCTTGGCATGCCTGTGGAGCTGACTGGGCAATGTCTTTATAAGGCATTAAAAATGTCCCAGACATTAAGTATGTTTGACGATCTCATACAACCATCCGAAAAATATGGAAATGTTAAAGCAACATCGCCTGGGTGGTGAAGTAAATAAATTCACAGACAGCTTCAAGAGACACGCACATATACAGTATATCCAAGAAACATAAAACATCCTCAACGCCAAAATCACTGCTGAAAATAAAAGCACATTTTATATAACAAACACTTTTAACCTTTTCCTTTCCTTAGGAATTTCTCTCTCCCTTAAATTTCCGCTCTTGTCAGTCAGTCTGTGTGGTGCCTGTCAGTGGCACTGCTCGGCTGTTCAGGAGAACAATAGGGCATGACACGAGAGGAAGAGTTTACTACAATAAGAGCTGGCACAAGCTGCTAGCCATCACTTCACCGATACTAGCGAAGGAAGGAAACCATTTACAACAGGGAAATCTCAGAATAAAGCAGAGGAGTGCATTTGTACACATATTAGGAGGGTTTGACATTTCAGAATTGTGAGCCTTTTTTACATCTTCCACCCATTCATTCAAATAGGCACAACACATGAGTTTGTCTTAACCCTTTAATGGCCTCTCACCATTCGGTAGAGCATGTTGAGTTAACAAAAACACTGCACTCAACTCATTCTGACTGATCACTCGGGTTCTGTATGTATATAATACAGGTCAATGCATAATGAAATGTGGACTTAATAAATCTAAATAATAAAAACTTGGGTCTGTAAAAAAATTAATATTGTTTGTTGTATTATTGACCCGAGGATATACAAAATGCATTATTATCCATTTGTTCAAACAAAGCACCAATGTAAGAAAGATACAATCATATAAAACAGAAAAAAAGAGAACGTTGATATCTGATCAGAGGTTATGACTAGACAAGTCTAACAATCTCAATATGTAATTCACATTGCATATTTCTCAATGCAATCGTAAACGCCTAAAGGATGAGAAACTATAACTGCAGTACAATTTATGTGTATGTTTATGATGACTTCCAATGACATTCATTCTCTGTATGTTTTCTATACAGCTTTAAGGGAAGTTCCTTCACAGAGAGATGAAGAGAGAGAGAGCAGACGCCCTACAAAAAAGGATGCAGGACATTCTACAGCCATACAAACACAGGATGTGTACAAGAATGAGACAAATCTCTGATGTATGAGGGAGAGAAACACATTATTTTACTCACTCCATTTCCAAATGCTTCCAAATGTAGTTGCGGCACTATATACTTTATGATTAATGAAGGTTTTCTACAATATAATGCATTTATTAAACTTAAGTTTAAAGAGTTTTATCTATGAAGGATGTCAGAAGAATCATCCAAACAAGTAAAGTAACTAGCTCAATATAGTTCTGCTGTGATTATATGAACTTTCCTCAAGAACTGTATTATGGAAGCCTAGTCGTGGGCGACTGTTTCTTTTGTTTGTTTTTTTTACCTTGAAGAAGGCCTTGATGGCAGGCAGATGGCTGTCACATTCAGTTCTGCGATGCTCATCCACACTATCACCAACCTGTTTTATGTAGACAGAAGAGACTGTAAGATTTCTAAGATAAGTGACAGTGCCATGATATTTAAGAGACTTAAGCTTTCAAATAATCAAAATAAAAACACAAATAGTATGAGACATATAATGTAGTGACACCTTTAAATATCCACAAAACTCAATACACACTGTGGTTCAAAGTTTGGAGTCAGTACAGTTTTTTATGTTTTTGAGAGAAGTCTCTTATGTTCATCAAGGCTGCAATTATTTGATCAATAAAACAGTAATAAACTGTTTTCTATTTTATTTTAAAAAATGTACTTTATTCCTGTGATGGCAAAGCTGAATTTTCAGCATCATTCCTCCAGTCTTCAGTGTCACATGTTCCTTCAGAAATCATTCTAATAGTATTATAAACATTGAAAACAGCTTAATATTTTTGTGGAAACCAGGATACCTTTTTTTTTTTTTTTTTGATAAATCAAAATAAAAGATTCAAAAGAACAGAATTTATTTGAAATAGAAATGTTGTGTAACATTAATATTATAGGTCTTTACTGTCACCTCAATTGAATGCATCTTTGACTATGAATTTCTTTCGAACTATGAATTTCTTTCAAAAACAATTATATACAAGGAATTAAAATCTATTTTAAACCTGTAACAAACTACTTTTCTGGTGCATCTAGACCTTCTATAGAATCAGATTTCTGTACTGTGTGTGTGTGTGTATGTGTGTGTGTGTGTGTGTGTGTGTGTGTGTGTGTGTGTGTGTGTGTGTGTGTGTGTGTGTGTGTGTGTGTGTGTGTGTGTGTGTGTACCAGTCTGGTTTACAAGAATGTCTCTTCTGCAGTTAACTGGTCACTGAGACCACCCCCCTCCCCTCCTCTGTACAATGCCTGACTGGCTACAGATGGCACCTCTGACCCCAACAACAACATTCCCACTTCTCGCCTTAGCAACCAGATCCACGATGGATATTAGAAAGGTTCCCAGAATGCTTCTTTCCGTCCGTATTTGAGCTCCTTCAGTTACTGAAGTCTGAAGGTCAAAGCTCTTTTGTGAAGTGAAGCCATTGACACGTCTCATCAACAGGAGCCTCACATCCACCGCTTAAATACGGACTGTTTAAAGATGCGGCAGCTCCAACCAATGAGGAACCACTTCAGGCTCACACCCCATGGCAACATCCAATAGGAGCAAAGTATAAAGTTCTAACATCCAATCAGAACAAGGCAAAATGACCTCATCCAGAAGTATTTGTTATAAGAGCTACAAATGTTTGAAGCCCCCCCCCCCCCCCCCCGATAGAAGGGGAAAGGCAGACTTTCCATCTAAAATTTAGGATATTGTCAATTTGCAGTTTATGTAAAGAGCTGAGAGAGCTCAGCCGCTTCATTTCAGTGTAGTATGTCTGCATGCATTTTGTATGGCTGAAATAAACTGATATAAACATACAGATTCTTCATGTGAACTTACCCAGCAGACCATGACAATCTGTGGTTGTCCTGTTTCTGTCAGTCCCACCCTGCAGAGGCCATACATGAGCCTGCTGTTGTGAAATTTCCCAACCAATTCTGTCAAACCTCCAGCTGGCAGATGAGAGAGAGAGAGAGAGAGAGAGAGAGAGAGAGAGAGAGAGAGAGAGAGAGAGAGAGAGAGAGAGAGAGAGAGAGAGAGAGAGAGAGAGAGAGAGAGAGAGAGAGAGAGAGAGAGAGAGAGAGAGAGAGAGAGAGAGAGAGAGAAAAAGAGAGAAATAAAGGGGGAAGGGAAAGACTAAATTAAAAAGGTCCAAAGTGTCTTCATCAAATATTGACCACATGAAAGGAAAAGCATCAGCCACCATGAAACACTTGCATTCTTTTACCAGATTATCATGATAATCTACAAAGAACAGGATTGTTCTGATGTACTGTAATAATAAGCAGAGCCGGTATATTTTCCTGCACTCAAGTGAGATTTTTCTGCTTCATCTGATATTAAGAGGAACCGTGTTGGCAGTTCAGCCTTAATTGGTAATCCTCTGATTTAGCAGCATTTAACACATGAATGTTGCATGAATGCCCTTAGACTGAGCTTTTAAAGTGGCTCAAATAGTGACTGTCCACATTTTAAGCGACCTTGGTTTTGGATGTGTTTTTTCCATTCATTTTCTCCATAGGATTTTCAAAAACTCAGCACACATGCTTAGGACATTATTTAGGAGTAGTTGGCTTGTAGGGTCCTGGGTATAAGGCTGAACTGGGACATGTCCCAATTCCACTCCCCTTCTCTCACCCCTACTTCCCTGTCTATCCTCCTGTCCTATAAATAAAGGCAAATAATCCCAACAATTCTATAGGGAAAAAAGACAAATGTCCAAGCATGTTTAATGTGTTTTATGAATGAACTGTGTCATTCTCATCCCAGACATAATGCACTCCAAACCTTTTGACCAATGACTTTGAATATTCGTTGAATTTAAAATTAAAATCCACATTTGAATGCAAAAACGGAGCATTCGAATTTTAGGTGCATCCGCCAGCCTTATTAGTGGTGAACAAGATGCGCGACGATAAGAGTCGTTGCATTGTAAAGATTCTGTTAGCCTGTCCAGTTTAACCGATTAGATGTTCATTCAAAACATTGCAGAATAGAGAAGCTCAATGCGGAGAAGATCTTGGTTGAATCAAAACCATAACTAAGCCGGTCACACAGAACGCTTTTTATGAGCTCCTTTTCAATTGTTTTCTATGTAAAACATGCACTAGACGGACATCTTTGACCGTTGCACTCGAGTCTCGCACAAAGGAGCCGCATGTTTAGAAAGCCACGATATGTTAAAAAGTTCGACTTCTAAAAAACTCTCGAGACTGAGGGGGGATTTTTTTCTACTGCATCTCATGTTTTTAAATGCAAAAAAAAAAAGTACTCTGTGTGATCGGCACTTTGGCTCTTATTATTAAACTATGCATAAATAAACAATATTTTTATGCCATTTACAAAATTATATTGGATTTATAACATATGTTATATGCTTTGCTTTGAATAAGCAATTTAATGCAGTAAATTAATATTTTGTTCATTGCGCCCTCAGGAGACAAGAAGCTCTTTTTTTCCCTAACTGAAATTATGCCTTTTAAATTTGAATATAATTAGAATATTGGTAATATTTTAGTATAAAATTCTAATTTAGTTTTCAGCCATTTCGACAGCCCTAGAGGATTAAAGAAATGTATGGTGACTGCACTCACAAAGAGCAATTTCTCAAAATATTTTAGAGCTAAGCATTTATATTCATCAGAAATGTCCATAACCTTTCCATGATTTATAACACTGATTTTAATATTTTATTATTTTCCTTGACTTTTACAAACCTAAAATAATTGTCCTGATATTTACATGGCTGTAGAAACTAAGATAATAAAACTATGGACAACAAGCCAGTGATTATAAGTATAAAATGAAATATAATTATAATAAAATATTATATTTAAATATTATTATATTTAAATATAATAAACATCCAAATAGATTCAAATAGATTTGATTATGTCATTCGCAATGCTTTATAGGAGTGGATGGCCACTGTTGAGCTCTTTTGCTGTTATTCCCGTTTCCATGGAACTTTCTCAAATTAGTGAAAATCATATTAGAATTATGTAGTGTAGTTCTTTACGTGAAAATCTGCAAATAAACCAGTTTGTTTTTTGTTTTGTTTTTTAAAAAACAGATTTACTGATTCGCTACTTTATTGAGCATTGGTAAAAAAAACCTTGAAAACACAAAAAGAAAGAGTCATTGGAAGGAGTCTTACCTCCTGAATCTGTGAGTTTAAGATTGTTGGTCACTCCCTCATATGCAAATAAAGCCCTGAAAAAGACAAAGAGTGAAATACATCAGTATATTACAGTGGAGGAAAAAACAACAGACCACATTTCAGAAACTGGTGTTGATAGACTTAAGTTACAAGATTTGTTGAAACCAGATTTTAACAACCTCCTGAAACTGACCATATCAAGGTCGTGCTGATAGCAATTCAAGATGAGGCAAGTGAAAAGTCAATATATCAATAGTAGAGACCCCCGACCTTGCACAGTCTGAAAGAGATCACGGGCCCTCCTTGCATTCCTCAGCCAAACAAAAACCACATCCTCACTTACTTACGTCATCTTAAAATGCAGTAAGTGGGCTTAGGCATGAGGACCATGTGTGCATTGTCCATCCGTTTTATCCTACACATTCACGCCATCCTAGAATGCTCCAGATATTGGACATGTATTGTGCATACCCAGCACTAACCCCAGTAAACCTACCAGGCCCTGTGGGGTAATGTACCAAATGTTCTCAGAACAGAAATGTTATCTATCACTCTTTCTTTGTTTTTGCTCTTGCTGTTTAGTTTTCTGATTTGCAGAAAAAGTCCCTCAGGAACTTAATCAGAGTAGATGCCCGCTGTCGTTGCCTATGACTTTTCACATTGTTAGTTAGGCTCTAATTTTGACAGACACAAGTCAAGACTTGTAACCGAATGTTCTTTGGGGCTACTAGCTCTAATAACAAGTGTAATTGCAGTGTATGAAATCGCAAAACACCATTTGAACCCAGGTCACAGCTGTCTGTGGTTATGTATCATTCATAGGCTGCACTGGGACTATTACTTGGAACTGCGGCTGAGAGAAAATAATGGAGTTTGTATCAGGGCCACCCGGCCACACCAAAGCAAATAGTGAAATGCAGGTGGGGCACTCGGTTTCTGAGATTAATAAGACTTTAGGTTTAGTGCAATTGAAGTGCAACACTGCATTTGTTGGGATGGTCCATACCCAGTTTCTTTGCTTAAGGGTAACTATTAGTGAAACATCTGAAGGGCTGAATGGGGATCACAGCCTGTAATGCTTTTGGGAGGGTTCCCGTCTGTGACTTCGGTGTTGTGAGACTTCTTGTTTGAAACGGCAGCTGATGAAACTGGCACTCGAAGACACATTCATATGGATTTCAATTCCCATTCAAAGCACAATAAATAATTTTGGGCATATTCTGTGAGGAAAACTTCATGACTTATATTATGATGAATTTTTCACCGTTTCAGCCTCTCCCTCGAAGAAAGAAAAAAAAAACTTTTCGAAGAATTAGTCAAATGTAAAATATCAAGTAAATCCTATAATTGTATATAATAACATCCTGGCTCATGGATCAAACTGGTCCAGTAAGAGCTGGGAACATTTAATCGTCTCTCATGCCTCTTTTGCATCCATAATACACTTTGTCATTGTCATGGCTTGAAGTTCATTTCTGAAAACTCCTCCCTTGGATGCCTCATACGAGGAGATTATTTATTCACTTGTGGGGAGTTATAATATGTATAATGTAAATAGTATGAATACATATTATACATATATAATTTAAACATATGAATTGCTTGTAATATATTTTTTTTCTATTAAAGCTGCAGTAGGGAGTTTTGAGAAAACGTTGACTTAGCCTGAAAATTTTAACAAGCACAACTTACAGGTCCCACCCCCTTGCTCTGCTGCGCTACAGCCCTCCCTCCACAGCGGAGCCAGTCGTGAACGCGCAGGCTAGTAAACAGGGCCACCCATAACGGCGGATAAAAAGTTATATGGCACATTCACTAATAGGGACTAAACGTCAATAATATGCTTTACATTGACTATGGCCTGCCCATACTTTGACTACAAACTTGGTCCTCAAATCATTATGTATTTTGCAATAGCCTACATGTAACTTTATAACGTTGCACTCTTTCTATAAGTTATAAATAGCTAGTAAGATAACGTTAATATAACGGTAACTAACGTTACAGTATGTAAGTAATTATTCTAGCGATATATAATGCTAGATAAGGTGTGCTAGTACATTATTTCAGCAACATGACAAGCCAGTGAATTAGCAGGTTTCAATTGTTGCTTAGGAGAGTGCGTGACATTTTATCTACATGTTATGCGGCTAGAGTTTTGACACCGAGTCAATGGGCTCTGTGTAATTCTTTCTTTTTCGCTTGTTTATCGCCATCAGTCTTTTTCCTTTTACCTCTTTGTTTTATGAGCAGGTGTCACTCGAGAATTAGCAGTTTAGGTTGTTTCTCCGTCATAAGCACAGCTGCAGCACGCCGGCAATCTTGAGTTTGAGCGACGGCTCGCGCTGTGCAAGAGAGGGGTGTGATCAGCGCGTACACGAGCGTGATTGACACTGCTAAGACACTCCTCTCGGCTCTGATTGGTTGTTTCTGACCGGGAGCGTGTATTTCTTGCAAATGGCAATAGGACCACTAGGAGGAGCCAGAGGAGCTTGATTTTTACACAGATTATCTGTCTCATATTCTACTGTCAGGACATAATGACAGTTTTAGCAAATACATTTTTTCAAAAGTTACCTACAGCAGCTTTAATCCTATATACAAAATATAACGTTTTTTATACTAATTTAAATGAGTATTCAAAGTAAAATATGTTGAACAAACTTTAATTAAAAAGTAAAGTATTCAAATAAATACAACCCTTTTATACTCAATTAACTAAATATTCAACATAAACTTTAAAGTAAAACTGCAAGAAAAGGCCAGTGTTCTCAAATAGATTGGAAAAGGGGAGTATCTTTAACAGAAGTTAAGCAAATATGCAAAAATGTGATTTTATGAACAGCAACATGCAGAAAACTGCATATTCACACTAAACTCATCATGGATCCAATGAGTTGCATGAAATTGCTTCAAAGTGAATCGTACACCTTTTTTTGTTTTTTCTCAGTGTAGTTCATTTAAACACCTCTTATTTAGAATCCCCTTACTCTGTCCCCTGGAATGTACACTGAATGAGGATAATCTACACCAGCCTGTTGTCATCATGTCCCTATTGTCCTCAAAGCTTCTGATCTCTGGAAGCCTCCCAGATTGTGACCTCTGGGCTTTTGACTCAGAGCTCAGACACAAGCTACAACAACAGCCTGTTTCCCCTCATTAGAGTCTGTGTTCAACCAAACCAACCTACCAATCAGTCTGTAATTAGCATGTTGTGACATCATTGTTCCGGATCCTTCTACCAGCATGGGAATATATAAAAGGCTGAGAGAGTGATCGTAATGGGGGATCAGAGGCGTGCTTGTAACAGCTGTCTGTTAGGGTAACATGACACAAGTATATTATAAAGGAGAGCTTGCCAACGCAGATGCTAATAAAAGGTTTTCTTCCTAAATCTTCTGCTATGTCCTGGAGTTGACAGACATTTTCGTTAAAAATGAGTTAGGCTAATAAAGCCTGTTGTGCAATTAATCCAGCTAGTATCAATCCCAATTAAGCAAGAAAAAGTAGTTCACTCATAATGGCAGCTGGTACTTTGATCAAACAACACCACAAAATGATGCTTCAGTGCATTACGATTAACAAATGTGCATTTCATTTAGCAGCACACCTCCGGCGCACGCAAAAGTCCTTTGTGTATCTGGTCACTTTCAAAGCATGTTGTGCTGTGGCTAATTGGTTCATCTAAGGGTCAAGTCACATCCTGCTGCAATCAATGTTTTAAACATGCACCTCAGATAACAATGTATAGAACTGTTTTTATCTATGCAATAAAGACCACACACATTCTCATTGACATAGTAAATGAGCACAAACAGTCAGCACTTCACTCATTGTCTTTCAGGCATGGATTGCATCTCCATGGCGTCTATGACGTACTCTATTGAGCTAAAATACACATGCAGCTACAGTTGTTTTGCATGAACTGAAAGGACAGCTTTTGTTCTCATCAGTTACTCTCAGTCTTTCACTTTTCACATGAAACGTCTCAAAAATTCCACGTACTTGCATGATACAGTAATCATTTGTTGACAATGGGGAGAATTCACTAAACTAAGCCTCTTTTTGATAGCAGTATTTCAGGGCAAAAGTCTGCGTCTTATTCACTAACTATCAACAATCCAGTTTTTAAAGTCATCATGAAATGGATCATCTTTTCTTCCCTACAAATACAATCTTAAAATAAAGGTTCTTTATTGGCATGAATGGTTCCATGAAAGCTTTCAATTGCACAAATATAATGGTAAAGAGTTCACATCAAGAAAAAAAAGTTTATTTTAAGAATTGTTCACAGAAAAGTTCACCAAAATTGTTCTTTTAAATAAAGTCCAGACCAACTCAGTCTAGTCCTGTAGGATTTTAGAAGAGCTTGTCTGTAAAATGCTAAAAACAAAGCTGAGGAATCTAGGGGGAACAACATGCAACTGAGACCAAGAACTGACTGCAAGAATAATGCGTAAATAATAGTGTGACATGACTGTAAACAAACTCAAATAATGCTTAAAAAAACACTTCACCACGTCCCTTAATACAGTTCTTGAAATCAAATCTAACGCTGCACTAGACATTTCCTGCCGTCTGTAGTTAGTGGAGAGAGGTGTTGTCTGGAAGTCGTCTGGACCGTCCTCACCTCACACATACACACTTCCTGTGTCAAGAGTATGATGAGAAAAACACAAGCAGCCCTGTTCTGCAGTCCAGCCAGCTATGAGCTCAAGAACAGAGAATGAGGAATGGAGGGAGAAAGAGAAATACAGGTCATAAACAAATGAGGGTGAAAGAAAAGAGAGAGTAGAAACATGGGATGGCCATTTTAAGACAGACTTATAGGTGCATGTACTGTAGGTGTAACAATAAAAAAAAACTTTCAAATGGCAAATCTGTAGAGGAAATGAAATAAAATATTGTTTCATAAACGTAAATGTTCACTTTTGTTCATAATTCGCCTTTGGCTAAGCCCCGCCCCCCTTAGTTACTGTTGCTACGTCCGACAAACAAACTTCATCTGGGCTCTGATATCAACATGGCTTATGCTGTGACAGCTCTTCCTGCT